TATATAGAATCTTGCTAAAATTGATCACCTTAAAAAAAATTGTTTAATTACCATTGCAAATTCAACTTAAGCTATGCGAGTGGAATGCACATGATCCCCTATAAGCCTCAAGCGGGTAACCTATGAATATAGTATGAAATCAACTATCTCAGAACTCTTCACAGATGTTATTATGATTAATAATGAAAGTAGATCAAATTCTGGGTTTTGTGATGGGCACTTGAACGCAAGTCATTAATGAAAATGAACATTCATATTACTTTCCTAATTTGACAAATCTCTTATTGAGAGAGAGAGAGAGAAAGCATTACTTATACAAAAATGGATTTATATATCTTTAATTTTCTAAAGTGAACACGAACGCTGATGGTTGGTTAGTTAAGTTCATGCAACGTCACATTTGTTTAGACAGTGAAGTTCTTTGAGAGTATGAGTTAATTGGATGTAGTTTAATGAGTACGTTACACACGAAATAATTCAGATGGTCAGGTCAAGAATTGCATTCTTTAAAAAATAACATATTAATATTTCAATTATGGTTTTAGAAGTTGTCTAATATCATCGATGAGAATTGTGTTAAGGGAGTCATGTTGTCTTTACTGATGAAGTGAGACAACTTCAATAATGAATTTTCTTATGATAATTTTCCGCACGAGCTTTGAAAGCTCTCCAAAACCAAGCACCAAACAATTGAGTTTCATGGTTCGAAAGACTGGGATTTTAGCCATTATTACACTATTGATACCAAATGTATACTTGAAAGTACTTATTTAATCTTCATAATGAGAGTTTTTACGATTGATTGATTAGAATTCTCTTGAAGTGGCTTAATTGCATTGAATTTGCACAAATTTTAACGTAGACTTTTTTAATCGATCTATAGGAGTCTTGAAATACTCATCCACTAAACATGTCTTGAAAAGAAATATAATATACTGTTTGGTCAAATGTCAAATATGTATCATATCGCATAACATTAAATCAAATAAATAGTTATATATAAAATATTTATTGTATATTTATAAGATAACAATATTTTTTTATAAATTCATTTTTATGATGTCGTATTCTATTAATCAATTTGGAAGAGAATAATAATAGTTCAAAAAACTTAACGAAGTTTATTAGTTATATATTTATTTCGTAGTTATTTTTTTATATTCTTATAAATTTATTTTTTTCGAATTTACTTTATATGAAAATAACTTTTATATGTATTTTCAGCTAATTTAAATATATTTATAGACATAATTATCTTGAATTAAGTAGAAAAACTTATTATATTGAGTCAAACAAATTTGCAAAATGTCCAAATTAAATAAAGATCAAGCCCAACAAGCCCACACCCAAAATTATATTATAAGGTAAAATCAAGTTCATGATCATATATATATACACACACACATACATACATATATATATATATAACTAATTAAGTTAATAAAATTTTATAGTATGAAATCCAAGTTAAGTTAGGTGTTAATATTTTATTAACATTTTATTAAAATAAAAAAATCAAAAGTCAAACTTGGGTTATATTTATAATTTAAGCAATTATTTTTATATAATTTATTTATAAATATATAAAAGTATGGAAATTATATCATAATTAATTAATATATTCAAAAAAAAAATTTAAAGAAATTCAAAAAAAGTTATTTAATAAATAAAAAACTTTTCGACAAATTCAAAATGTGTCATAAAAAAAAGTCATAATTATGTTTTGTCTCTCCTAAAATGATGAAACGCAGCGTTGGACCGGCAATCGTTCAGCACGTGACAACTGCGGGACCCACTCACCTGGGGGGAATTATCCGCTACATCCATGTCTACTTTTATTATCACGTGTCGGCAGACAAGTGGTTGATTGAAGTTTTCTTTTTTACTGATCGGTTTTGTCGGGGAAGACTACTGTGGTTCTTGATGCACCTGATTTTTTTCTATTATCTTTTAAAGGAAAATAAAACCGTCTTTATCTGTCTTATCTGATCCTCTTTCTGTTTCCTCTCTTCTCCTCCTCTCCGCCTCATTTTTACCGCAAGTGTCCGATAAACCTAGAGCAATCCCCGCCATCCGACGTCGTAATCGGGACTCGAATCCTTATTCGAATTCTTGCCGTGTTGTTCTCAAATTGATTTCTATGGTTTTGTTTTATCATTTATGAAAGAGTGAGTATATTTATAATGGCACTGCTTGATTGCTGCCACGGGAAATGAATTTCGCGCTGCGAACTTGGGAGCTGTCGTAACTTTGAGTTAGATTCGAGCTCGATTGCAGGTTGTTTGGTTCAGGTAAATGTTTATAAGCTCCTTTTTTTAAAAAAATTTATTTTCCCCTAAATTTCGGTTTCTTTGGTTCTTTTAGTCACATTTTGGTCAGTCACGGTTCTAGTTTGAAGTTGTTGGGTACTCCTTTTTTTTTCTATTTAATGTTGAAGTTGTTTTTGTTAGATTTGTATTAACTGGGATGGGAAATTTATTCCGGTTCCGATGTTTAATCAACATTTCAATTTATCAATTTTTTTTTATAGAAAATTACGGTGCTTGTTCAGTTTTCGGTTCAATTATTAGTCAATTCCTCGTCGTAATTTTCATGCGAATGTTATAGTTAAAGACTGTTATGTTTCATCAGCACGCTCACTTTGAATTTCTTGTTGATGGAAATTTAACCACACTCTAAAAGTTAGCACTTGAATTCTCACTTTTAACGAATTGAAAGGGAGGTGGTGGTAACTCAATCGTTGCTGATGTTCTAATTGTAGGTATTAAGACTAATATGAGAATTAGGAATTAGGTATAGGGAATTGAATAAAAATTGAACTAAAGGCAAATATGGGTTTTAATTGAATTACAAAATACGGACAAAGAGAATTGGAAGTTAAAACAGTGTTGTTTTGATTTCCTGTAATTCATATGAATATTTGCAGGAAAAATGAAGGGTGTCAGAGATTGGGTTTTTTCTCAAATGGTGTCCAAGTCCGTGGCGTCATCTCGACCATTATCAGGGAGTGGCAGCTACTTCCATGAGGGACCTCCAGATGTGGAGTCCGACAGCCAAAGTATTGCCACATTTCTTCTCCTTTATACTTAATAATAGATACTTTTTAGCCTGAATTGCTATAAGTTCGTGCCTATGTGTGTGTGTGTATTGCTAGTTATGAAAGGTTGTATAAAGAAATAAAATTTTCTTTAAATACCAGCTTAAGTTTCCCTATTTTTCAAGTCCATGCTTGAAATTTATCACGGACAGACAAGTTGCTTCTCAGACTGTTTGGTTTACAAATTAGTTTGAAGCAAATAGGGCTTCTATCATGAAAAAGAAACAAAATGAGAGTTTTTTTTAATATGTCTGGAACTGAATGGCTCTTAGTAACGAGGTTGGGGACAAGAAAATCTTTATATCATTATGTCATTTGCAAAAGTTCCGTTTTACACTTATTATTTTTTCCCAATTATTGTTCTTTATTTATTTATGAAAGAATGATGTAATTACCAGAAAATAAATTATTTGACTGGGACGGGTCTGAATCTTGTGATATTATTCACAATTAGAACTTTTCATGAACTACGTATGTGACCAGAAAAGAAAAATGTTATGGCTGAGAGAGATGGGACTGAATTTTTTGATATTATTCACAATCAAAACTTTTTACAAACTAAAAATTTGATCTGTTACACATTAATTCTTGAAATGCACCCTTTCTTTTAGAAATTCTAGAAATGTGCTCTTAACCTGTCATTTTAGCCTTGGAGCTCCCCATGAGGTCCAAGTGAAATGAATGACTAAGAGTAAATTTATTTTGCGTTATTTTCTTATACTGCAAACAAATTTATTTTTAATCCATAACGGCTTCAACAAATAAGAAAGCATTAAATAGTGGCAGGTTACTTGATCACCTGTCCATTTTTGCTCTTTTTACCGTTGTTGTGTTGATTTGACAAGTCACACAGAAGTCACTTGAGTTTCTTCTGCATGCTTCCTTTTTTTATATGCATTAGATTACGGCCTTTTTGGTTCATTTCTAATTTAATTCATAGCCTTGTGTTGTATAATTGCAATGTTGAATTCCTTGAGGACAGGGGAAACTAGGACACAAAAATTATGTTGTAGTTATACGTATCTACACTAATATGAAAATTAGAACTACGATTTGAAAAGTTTCTGGATTTACAAAGTGTTGTCACATTTCTGGATTTACAAAAAATTTCTATGATTAGGGTATTGAATGATTTTCACATAGATGTCCCTGAAGGTATTTTGATAGTTGAAGTCATGCTGATAATAGCATTCAGCGAGATGCCTTTGGTCCTATCTTCTTATAGTATTGTGTGGTTGAGGTGCTTCATTTCTTATTTCTCTTGGGCCTTTTAATGGGGCTTGAGTTGGCAGTAGCTCTGACTTTGTTATGTATTTTTGTGCTGGTTCTGGGTGATAATACTAAGTAATTGAGAGCAGTTGCCCTTTTCTCTGTCTGACTTTCATGGTTCATATTAAGTGGCAAAGCAGTAGAATAAAGGGTCTTACGGTCAGGGTATGGCAATGTTTTCTCTGGTTACGACACTGGAGCAGAAGGTGCAAGGACAATACGGGTGGTGTAAGAAGGCCACCACCATAGACCAATAAAACAGGATATCAATTGCCAAAACTGAAGCCAACATTTTTTAGGTGTGAAATGTGTGAAGTGAACGAAATTCTGCTTAAGTTTACCTTCTTGTATCTTTCAGAAAAAGATTTACCTTGTTGTAAGTATAAGAATTTATCCTGTTTATATAGCTTAATCTATTGTAGGGTGGCAGTAGAGTGCTTTAATGAGCTTAAATAGCAGAACAGTTTCTTTTTCTACTTGGCTTGATGTACTTCTGGAAATTCTAAGAATTTTTGAATGACTTTTCTTACTGAAAAGCCCAATGTTCTGATCAACATTGTCTTCAGTAGGGTTTATCTTTTATCAAGCACTACTGAAAATTGGTGGGCCAATTTCTAAGTGTAAAACATTATTCTTATTCTATTATCTTAGAGTTTGTTATATTAATACATTTGAGGTTCATGCCAATTATATGCCCTAGTTGCCTGATTGGTCAAAATGCTGGTCCTAACTTCTAAATAGCTGTCTAGTTTGGTTTTGTCTGATATTGATATATTTCACTGGGCAACAAGTTTTTTCATTGTCTTGTATTTTATTAGGTCCAACTCAGACTGCAAGTATGATTGCATCATCAATGCCTCGTAATACTTTATATTCTTCCAGTAGCAATCGGGAAAATCAAACTCATCCCCCTCTGCAGGAAGTTCCACCTGAACAATCTTCACGTGATGGTGTTGTTGAAAGGAAAATGGACCCATTAGCAAAAATTGAAGATCTCCAAGTAAAGTTCCTACGTCTTGTGCAGCGGTTAGGGCAATCAGAAGGCAATCTTCTAGTGGCAAAGGTTTTATATCGAATACACCTAGCAACTTTGATACGAGCAGGGGAATCAGATTTGAAAAGCGTAAGCATTAGAAGTGATAGAGCCAGAGCAATAGCAAGAGAAAAAGAGGCTACAGGAGTACCTGATTTGAATTTCCCATTTAGAATACTTGTTTTGGGGAAGACAGGTGTTGGCAAGAGTGCAACAATAAACTCTATTTTTGATCAAATAAAGACAGAGACAGATGCATTTCAGCCTGCCACCGATTGCATCCAAGAAGTTGTGGGTACTGTTAGTGGGATTAGGATAACCTTCATTGACACCCCTGGTTTCTTACCTCCATGCACAAGTAATATGAAAAGGAATCGAAAAATTATGCTCTCTGTGAAGAAATTCATTAGAAGATCTCCACCTGACCTTGTTCTATACTTTGAGCGGCTTGACCTTGTCAGCATGGGTTATAGTGACTTGCACCTCCTCAAGCTTATGACCGAAGTCTTTGGTACTGCAATTTGGTTTAACACTATTCTTGTCATGACACATTCATCCTCTACTCCTCCTGAAAGGACTAAATGGATATCCAGTCAGCTATGAATCATATGTGACCAAGTGCAAGATTTGGTGCAACTCTGCATACACAAGGCAGTATCTGATACAAACTGAAAACCCAC